TTTTGATCCTTTCTCTTAGGCCCTGAGTTGCAAAAATGCAGAGATCAATGTGTCCAAAATAAAAACTTAAACGCTGAAGAGGTAAAACTAATTCTTACTCATACTCTCCCCATTACTGCTGTTTCCAGCATTTCAAGAGTTCCACACTATTTACTAATATTTAAAATCCTTTTAAAAAAAGTACTCCAAGTATCTCATCAATTGCAAAATATGCCTTAATGGACAGGGTATTTGGGCTGTTACTCTTACCTACCCTGACTTTCTCCTGATTATGCATTAGTCTGGAAGAATTTATTAGTCCTACAGCATATTGCATTATTTCCCCTATTGAACCTGTTCCTTCATGTTCAAGATCAATCTAAATTCAATTCCATATTCTCTGACATTTGCAACTGCTCAACTTTTTGTCTTCATGATTCTAAAAAGAGCACTTTCAAATCCATCATCTTGGTCAATGAGGGCTATTAAACAGTGGCTAAGCTCAAGGACAACTGACATACATTACCACTTCATTCGGTCCCTGTTTCAGATTGGAGATGTCATTTAGAATCCAGTTTCAACATTGGCAAAAGTCTTGGAAACTCTATGATTTTAAAAATAGAAATAAATAGAGATAACAGCACTTAACCTTTGCCAGAGAAGCCAGCTTCTAAAAGCCATCCCTGAAAATCCAAAATCTTCTGGACAGAACCAATCTCCTTGGTGGCCAGTAACTAATTTTTACCTCAGGATGGGTAGCCTTGGTCTTGGCTATCTGGCTGTAGGTCACAGAATAGCCTTTCAGGACCTTAAAGCAGAGCCCTTTTGCTCTCAATTTAGACATACGTTAATTAATCCAGTTATCTATTTTCAAGATCGTCTGAGTGAACACAAAAACGCAGAACAAGCTCACAGTAGCAAGTGAGTTAACAGCATGAAAGGACAACCCAGCAGTCTGGCGTCTATTAATTTAAGAGCAGGTGACTAATTCTGTAATCCACGTAGCCCGTGAACTGAGATTGCCAGAAAGGAGAAAAAGAAAAACACATTCCAAGGATAAATGCAGAGACCCACATGTACACACATCATAGTAAAAATGCTGAAAAGTCAAATACAGGGAGAAAAACCTTGAAAAAATGCTAGAAAAAGCGTGCCACTTAAATGGGAATCCAGTGGAAGCCAGAAGGTAGTTGGAAAACCAAGAGCTCAGATAAAAATACTGCCAACCCATATTTTGTTCCTTGATTGATTTTAAAGAGAGGTGGCGGGGGGAATGGGGCGGAGAGTGATAGGGGGCCATACTGGGTTTTTTAAGTTTTTAATCTGTTCTCTAAAGGCTGGGACTTTGGGGGAGGATCCACCCATCCATGCATTCATTGGTTGCTTCAGGCATATACCCTAACCCAATCAAACCCACAACCTGGTGTACTGGGACTAAGCTCTAACCAACTGAGGTACGCAGCCAGGGGCCAACTAAGAATCTTAATCTACCCAGGAAAGCTATCTATAAAAAAAAAAAAGAGAGAAATTGTTGCTAGTCAATTGATCTTACAAAAAATAGTAAAGGAAATTCTTCAGGCTGAAAGTAAGTGATCCCAGACAGTAAGTAATAAGCCACAAGAACAAAGTTGAAGGCAATTATGTAACTATAAATGCATATTTTTTAAGGTTTAAAAAGCATTTTTATAAAATAGTATGTATGCAATATATTGTTGGGACTATACATATAGAAATGTAATATGTGTAACACACTTGCCAACAGCATAAACACAGTAAATGTGAGTAAAGCTGTAGCGCGCTGAGGGAACAATTACAAACGTTAGACCAACAGTTGTAACAACGCACTGCTGGGTTTGTAAATGCAATATGTAGGCACTACCTAGAAAATACTTTCATTAGACTTGGTCCTCAATAAGGGCAAGTTATAGATATTTTACAATTTGTTCTACTCCTTGCAAAGACAAAACCAAACCAAAACACCAAACAAGGAAATATAAGGAATCTTCTTTTGGCTTTTATTTGCTGCTCTGACAGCCAGGCTGAAAATATATTAATTACTTCTCTTTGGTCTATGCTAAGATCCTATTGATTTCTGAGGTCTGGACTGAAAAGTTTTTTGTCCTTTTATAATCATTAAAAATAACATAGCAAAATAAGAGATAACTTTCTAAGGAAAAAACTCAATTTATCGTTTTACTTCGACATCATTTTTTGTTATTTATTCCCTTCTGGTTCTATTCCACAGGCATTCACAATTTATTTTACGGAGGTATACCACTAATACACAGGGTCTGGCAGAAGTAACACCTGCTTGGGTGTGGTTGGTAGGGTAAGAAGATGGGTGTAATAATTTAGTTTTAATTTGAACATTCCACCTAAAATTTCATATGGTGTACTTGAGTCATAAAATCACATGCTTATGATTTTACAATAAAAGATTTTGTAATAAAAAAGGGGCATTACTTGTGCCAGTGTATATTTGTATTTTTTCACCTGGATTACTTTAGCAAGTTTGTCATTCTTGATAGCATCACATGTATTCAGCGATATATAAGTATTTTCCCGTGTCTCTCTGACCTGTGCGTTCTACTTTGTAGCAGTGGACCTGGGGGAAGGGTTGGAGCCCAGACTTCCAGACACAAAAACAAAGAAACACACACCCAACTCTTGAACTGTGGTGAATGTAAATGGTCTCACTTTGACGCAAGTTTTTGACTTGTATTTATATATTTAAATGTTTAAAAACAGACACAAGTATCATCTGAATAACATTTATAATGTATAATACTAATTACAAGTTTTTATTTAAAGTCTATGAATCCACCAGTTTGCAGGTTATTCGGAAAAAGAGAGGTATGTTTAAAACTTATGACTCGGATGCCCCTATATGCATAAACCTCTATCCTTCTTACCTTTGATTACTGCCTTGGGCAGTAATTTCAGAAAAACTTAACTCTAAATTAATCAAGTAGTACATACAATAGCTGAAATTTACATTTTATCAGCAGATAAAAAGTATCAGATCAAAACCAGCATTTCCTAATATAGGCACCTCATTTCTTAAAATTTTTATTTAAAAAATCCTTGAAGATGTTTATTGACTTTAGAGAGGAAGAGGAGAAAAATATTCACTGACTGCCCCCCATACACACCTTGAGTGGGGATCGAACCTTTTGGTGTGTAAGGGAAGTTCCAACCAACTGAGCCACTGGCCGAAGCACTAATAAAACTTTTTAATATGTTATAATTACATTTTGCAAGTTCAGTACATGGCCTAAAAGAGGAAATAGGAGTAAAATAATTTCAAGTATATCTGGTTTTTAATGAAAAAAAAAAAAAGTTTAACAAGGTTTTAGCTCACTGACATTTACCGTTCTGGGGGGTAGGGCTAGGGGGACTCATGGACACGGATAACAGTGTGGTGATGGGGGTGGTGGAGGTGATACACAGTATAAGGGAGATAAATGGAAATAAAAAATACTATAAAATATATTTAAAAAATAGACTATGCTTTACTTCATTTTTTTTTAAACTGTAATGTGAGGTGGGTCATTTCCAGGCTAGAGTTACTATTTGCTTCCTTCCTTAGCATTAGTTAACTATTCAGTCACAGGCACGATCCATTTAGTACCTCTCTCTCCGTTCCGCAAATCTGACTCAAACACGATTCCAAGTATTATGTGAATAGTTCCCTTTTTGGGCATAGGACATTTGGGGTGTACATTATTATTAGCAATATGCTATCATTGTATTTGAATAGACAGCCTGTTTAAAACCAAAGCAATTTACTAAAAGCTCATCCTTTAGCAATTAGTAACTTCTGATACTTTATTCAATGTAATTGCATATTCTCAGCATGTTTATAATTTCAAGTAAATGTGAGTAAACACTTATTTGACTAGTTACCATGTTCACTAGGTTTTAACACAACCAGTAGCTGTTACTGAGCTTAGTAAAATAGTGTTAAATACTTACACATACAATTCATCAGAGAAAGGTGAAAAGCACAACCTATCAATCTACTCTTCAGTGAATAAACCTGCTGGTATCTAAGAGCCATTTAAATAAAGTTATGATTAACAAGAGAATAACTAAGTTTATGCTGTATTATAGTTCAAAAGATCACCGGTATATAAGTCCAGATAAATTTGGTGATGAGATAGTACAATCATTGACAATTAGATTGTTAGACCTTAGGAAACTCACTTTTTTTCTTAGGTTTGTTTCCTCACCCGTAAAATGAAAGGATTAGGAAGAGTGTGACTTTTATCAGGCTTTCCGTACCTGTTCTTGAAAAGCTGTTCAAGCTTTTGTCATTATGAACATCTAAATGCACTTATCAAGCTTTTTTAAAGCTAGCAACAGAAATCACAAAGAGAAAAAATGATTATATTTCTTTTTTAAAAAAAGATTTCTTTTTAGAGAGAGAGGTAGGAAGAAACATCAATGTCAGAGAGAAACAGCGATTGGTTGCCTCTTGCATACACCCAGACTGAGGACCAAACCCAGGCATGTAACCTGACCCAGAATAGAACCGGCAACCTCTGGCTTTGTGGGACAACATTCAACCAACCTGTCTGAGCCACACCTGTCAGAGCTATGATATATCTTCTTAGGTGAGATATAGAACTGATAAATTTGAGTGTTTTAAGTCTGAAAAAGTATAAAGATAACAAAATCAATTTATTGTTCTTACTCCACTTCTTATAGTTGTAAGATATGGCAGGAGTTCTATATATTGCTGATAATTTTTCCAGAACTAGTGTTAACATGCAAATTACACCATGTTGGTATGCCCAAGGGCCAAATATAAAAGTAAGTTTACCTGGGTCTACTCTAGCCAAGGTTAAAAAATGGTATGAGTTATTACATGAGTAGGGTTGAGAGATTTTCCTACCACATTAAAAATGTAAAGATATTAACCAATCATTTCTTTTTAAAAAAAATACTTTATTTATTTTTAGAGAGGGGAAAAGGAGGGAGAGTGGGAGAGAAACATCAATGTGCGGTTGCCTTTCATGAGCCCCCAAATGGGGACCTGGTCTGCAACCCAGGCATGTGCCCTGACCGGGAATCGAACCAGTGACCTTCCAGTTTTTGGTAAGATGCCCAACACACTGAGCCACCCCAGTCAGGGTGGAATATACAGTCTTAAAGGACGCTGTTCAACTTATTGAAATCTGGAATTTCTTTTGTAGCATTGTGACATGTCATTCAGCTTCTCTGTTCTGCTCCAGTAGTATGGTACTCATTAATTCTTCAGAGGCAATTCCTTTACCTTGATGGACAAAAAACCATAAAGTTAGCTTTTATATTGAGCTCTAATATACCAATTTACAATTTTCACTTTGTTTTACTGAGGGTCAAAAAGAATAAATTGTATATCACTCTAAAAAAACTTGAAGGTTAATTATTATTCCTTAGTCACATAACCCTATTCAGTTTCTGTGTTTGTTTATAAGACTCTTTCTAACTTCGTAAAACAGTCCAGGATTTATTCTAGTTTGTGAACATCCTCTCACTGAATCTTGAAATGAAATCAATATTGTAGATATTGCAGCACTTTATAAAATTATTTACCAATGACAAATTTTTCAGCACCCTAAGACTGTATCAGTTCCTGAATAGTTGGCTGCCATTTTTTTCTTATTAAAGCTAAAATCTGCAATGTCCTGACAAATGTACTTTCATGTTTTTTATCAATGGCTTTTCTCCTGTTTCTAGGACAGTGATCAGGGCCCATGATACCACATAATTGTGCCTCTAACTTGCTTGCCAGCCTCATGCCATCCTTTCCATTTGAACTCTGGCCAACCTTAATTTCATATGCCATTCTCCTTCCAGGCTTCCACAAGCTGTACCTCTCAGCCAGGAATGTTTAGGTTTAGTCATTTCTTCGTCATCTTTCACAGCTCAGTTCGAAAACTCCTTCAAGGGACTCTTCCTTCGCCTCCTTCACAACCTCCCCTCCCAGGAATACACCTTTTAACTATTATAACACCCTACTGATCTCTTTTAGTTCTTATCCAAAAAGTAATACCTGTGCAATGAGGTATGTCTCCTCAGTTATACTGTGAAGTCTGTGAAGGACATGGTCGATGTCTATTTTTACCTGGCATAGGATTTTGCAGAATTTAAACATGCAATAAATATTTGTTGAATGAGTAAGAAATCAGCATGATCAAAATTTTGACTTTCCCAGGTAATCAAAAACAAACAAAAAATAAAACCATCCCAGCTAAACTCTGGGTGTATGTTGCACAAAAGAGGAATTGTATTGGACCCAAGACAATCTTGGACCCAAGAAATCTTGAGAAGGAAAAACCTCTCCAAAGGAGTGACAAAATTTAGAAAACTGAAGAACTATATTCTATTAAGATGAACGGAAACCCCTTTTCCACTTTTTCTACACAGAGGAGAGCATGGAAGAAGGCAAACAAGCACAGCTGAGTGGTATATTCATTGTTTTACTGTTAATTTGACACATCTGAACCAAAGCATTCACAATACTTGATATACTTTGAAGAGAATCATATACTAGAGTCTTAGACATAACCACAGAACAAGCAGAACAATTAAAACTACATAAGGCCTTAAAAGATATCCACAGTGTGTATTATTTCAATATTCATTCATTTACAAATTAGACTACATACCGTTAATTTAATTTTCTATTTTTCTTTCATTTTTTAAAATTCAGGCATGATTCATTCAAGGAAAGGCAACTTAGTTTTTGTGTGTGAACTTTATTTTTCCTATGCTGGTTAATATAAAAGTTATGAATTAAATGTTTTCTTATCTCCTGCATCAGGAGTGAATCTGTGAAATCTTCAGATAGTAAATGAAAACAATAGGTTCTATTCTTAAAAAGAGCCAAAGTGAAAAGGGACCGAAGCCAGTCTGTGGTCTTCAAGGTCAATGGACTTTCAGGTCATCTATTTATAATGAAGAGTACTGCAATTTTACGAGACCAGTCAAAATTTAAAACAACAATGCATACAAAAATCATTCTTGAAGCTCTAAATGCCTTTTAAATAACTAAAATAAAAAATTTAAGTAGTTGCCTCACAGTACCAAACTTACAAATCAAAACTAGTTAAAATTCAGTGCTATAATGGCTTCTCATTTACAAGATAACTAGTTGGTAAATTAACAGATGGCATAAAAATTAAGACTTACATCAGTTTTCTTTTAAAAGGAGAAAATGAATGATAACCAAGGAATACAGAAAATTCAATATATTTTACAATAAAATAACTGTTTATACCTCTATCCCTGTACAACAGGGTTTAGGTCACCTCTAGTGAACTTGTGTTTTCTTAGTATTCTACTGAGTACTTGGAATTGTTTCAGATATACAGCTTTTTATTGAAAGAATATTACATTTGTATACCAGGATAAGATTTAGTACATTGAGATGTTTTAAAAATATTTATAAATTTGTTTCTCATATGCAAAAGCATTTGGCAATACTTTTACAGCATTTGATTTTATAGAATTAAAATTTCATACAGTACTCATTTTGATGTTTAAAAAAAAATTCACAGAAAAAATATAAATTACACAGCCTGACTGCATGATACTGTTATTTCCAGTTATAGTTCTGGTAATTAAAACCTTCATTAAGTCTGTTAACAAATCATTACCTGTACATTTATGAAGGCAACTTACATGATTTGTAAACAAAACCTTCAGGTTTTACACTGTTTACCAAGGAGTGCAGTTCAGCAAAAGAAAACCCGGTATGCAAATTTACATAATATTTTACAAATTTACCAGTTCCTGTGACACGAACTGTTTCAACCTTTCAAGGTATTGTCCATAAAGTTCCACATCATTGTGACCTGCCCCTTCAACCCACAGGGGCTCCACAGGTCTTTGGCAACGCTCGAATAATGCGAGGCCATGTGAAAAGTCAATGACTTCATCTTCAGTCCCATGAATTATTAACACTGGAGAAGTTATCTTAGAGATTTTGTCAATGCTGCAGGGAAAAACGAAGGAAGAAAAATCAATGAATTAACTATGAAAAAACCATAAAACAAATTTTCTTATGCTATATCAGACAGAGAATTCAGAATCTAACCAGAAAGGATGGATGCCTCTTGGATTTCAAACATTATTCAAGTCACTTTCACATACTGGCTACCTTAAGATTATCTGGGAAAGTTAATTTCATGCACTTCTGTTCTGAGGAAATCACTCAATGGTTACTATGCTAACTTCATACCTCTTTGCACTCATATGGCAGCAAGTTTTGTTTTTGGGGTATTAACTCACAAAAACAGAGCAAATGTAACAACACATAACAAAATTCTGGAGCTGAAAAACAGCAGAAAACATAATTTTTAAGAGGATATAGAAGGTAAAGAACCAACCCCATTTATTGCATGGAATACCTGAGAAGGTTAGGAAATGACAGAGGCGATGAAGGTGAGTGACTGAAATCTCTAGAATTTGTTCAAAGAATTAGTTTAGGTCCCTCACCCCCAGTGTCTTTCCCCTATTTTCTGCAGCAGAGTAACTGCTCTCCACCTAAAACCGGAAGGTTTGTGGGCTAGGGAATTGCCAGTCAGTTTGGGGCAGAGGCACCAGAGGACACGTGAGCATATACATACTGGCTGCTGCGAACCCTTTTCCCCTAGTGGGCTTCCAGAATGCTGGCACCCAGAGCTTCATCCACCAAGGGGGGGGTTTAGAGTCTTCTCTGCAGTCTGTGTCCGCTTTAAAAGTAAAGGTATATGAATACTGACATGGGGCTGGGAATCCCCAACTAACTGGCTTGAATAGATTGCTCTATGGTGAATCTCTCAGGCAACAAGTCTTAGTCACCTGCTTCAGGTCAGCACTTCAGTCCCTGTCTTACTCTGTATGAACAGGCAACCAAGAACCACCAGACATCAATGGAGAACACTTTAACATAAGAGATCAAAACAATCAGAACTAAAAAGGCAACTCAAAGGAAACATAAAACACAGAGAAGAAATCTTACAATTAACAACTCTTTTTAAAAAGTCCTTAGAGACAGAGAGAGAAAAGGCACTTTTGCCATAAATGAGTATATAATTATGAAAAGTAGGAACATCAATGAAATTGTACAAGGTTGCATTAGGTAAGGAAAGAATGGTTAGGTATATTATTTGCAATAGCATTACCCTAAACACATCCTTATCATCTCTATTATTCAGCTAGACAAAAGCAATATAATGCACATTCCTTCCAACCTACTATTATCTAAACCAAAATAAAACTAAAAATCAAAATCTCCCTCCCACAGCCTGCTCTGGTGATAACATCATACATTCCCATAAACTTTGCAAAAGTGACTCCTTATCAGCTAAGGATGAAAAAAATGTTCTTGTAATGACTGTTGCTGTTCTTATAAAGAACCAAGTGATGATTTGGCCTTTGGCCCATCTATCACTTACCAAAAAATCCCTTTGTATTGTTGTCAATTATGCAAAGAAAATAAAACAAATTTGCTAGCCTCCTCTCACTTCTTGAGCTGGTGGGAACTACCTTGAGAAGTAGCCCTTCTTTCCAATTTGTCTAACGCTTTAATGTTTGCAGACTTTTTGGTGACAATACTTATCCTAGTTCACTTCAGACTCAATTTTTTTTTCAAGTTCACTTCTTTTGTCAATCAGATACCATTAGACATCATTAACTCATTTTTATGCACACATCTTATTTTTCCTCTACTTCTTTCCTCCAGTATTGTATCTCACTGAATGGGACCACCATCCATTAGCAGTTTAAGTCAGAAACCTGGGAATTACATTCAAGTTCCTTTGTTTGGCATCCTCTATCCAGCCTGAAATTTAGTTCTATCAATTTTATTTCTCGAATTCATTATCTTGTCTTTAATACTAGTACCACTGTCTGGGTAAAGGCCCTCTGCACTTTGTATCAGATGACTGTTGCTCAAACATTTCAGCTTCCAGACTGATGTCCTGCTGCCACTTGCTTCACAGGTTAATTTTTCACAATAATATATGTATCTATATACCTATATTATATACATATACATGCAAATACCTATATATTTTACATATATCTATAATATATGTAAAATAGAAGCCCATGGCTAAGTGAGTTGTTTCATGTATGCCTTAAGTGATGGAATAAAATTCCCTCAAATGTTTCTTTAAATTCAATATTTTGAATATTGATACTTACTTTGGGAATGCATCAAAACAGTAGGTCTTCTTGGTGTCAGGAAAAGCAACTCGCATTCCCGACGTCAAAGGAGAATGAAGAATAACAGCAGCACTCTCGTATCGAGCAGCAAGATCCACAGACGGTACTGTCCCTATACTTTGGCCATATATAATCACATTTTCAGGGCGAATGCCATATCTACAAAGTTCAGAAGTTAAAGGGGGGGGGAGGAAAAAAAAAAAAAAAGAGTTGGACTGGTATGAAATGCTCAATCATCCCTAAGGACTTCATCTAATAACCAAATGACTTGGATTTTAAATATAAATTTGTTGGCACTGTCTAAGTTTTTAGTTATCACTATCATATTTAATGCTACAGTAAAGGTCTTTTTCTTAGCTTCTTATTTTAGTATCATCTTTTGGAAAAATTGCTGAAGTCTTTTAAAACCTCAACTTTTTTCTTTTTTTGGTTTCTGCTAGGCTTTGAGAAAAATTTACATAAGAATCCCTGTCCAACACAAGTGAATCTGTATAAATTTCACATACCTTTCTTTCTTTCTTTCTTTCTTTTCTTTCTTTCTCTCTCTCTCTTTGTTTCTTTCTTTCCTTTCTTATTTTATTTATTTATTTTTAGAGAGGGGAGGGAGAAAGAGAGAGAGAGAGACATCAATGTGCGGTTGCTGCGGGTCATGGCCTGCAACCCAGGCATGTACCCTGACTGGGAATCGAACCTGTGACACTTTGGTCCTCAGCCTGCGCTCAATCCACTGAGCTACACCAGCCAGGCACATACCTCTTTCCATTAAAGGAGCAGAAAAATGGCTTATGACGAGTTTATGAAAATAGTAAAACAAAGCTTATTTAAATTGCATCATTCGCCTTGGCTGGCAAATGATGCACCCCAGTCAGGGCACATGCCTGGGTTGCAGGCCATGGCCCCCAGCAACCAAACATTGATATCTATCTATCTATCTATCTATCTATCTGTCTCTCTCTCTCTCTCTCTCTCTCCCTTTCTCCCTCCCTCCCTTCTCTCTCTAAAAATAAATAAAATCTTTTAAAAATTCTTAAAAAAAGTATTAAAAAATAAATTGCACCATTCTCTTCTGTATCATATAGATTGTGTTGAATAGGCTCAAAAACAGGAAACCAGGTAATGCTCTCATTTTTAAAGCTGATTTGTTCTTGCACTACTATCCTTTTATCAAAGGCAAATAAATTTACTTTAGATAACATCAAGGTGTAATATCAATGTACTTTAAACCAAAAGCACAAATGTCCGAGTTGGTAGTTTTGGCATGAATAAAAAGAAAGGATAAAATTTCAATCTTAAAAATGGATATATGTAATTAAATGTACACTGACTAAATTTGGAAACATATCAATCACTATTTTAATGATTGGTGTTTAATGGATAGTTGTTTATCTTCCACTCAATTTAAGAAAAGTTCTTTATTTGTTCAAATATCAAAAGTGGGTCATTTTATTTTTTAAAGTTGGTCATAGTGATGAGATGTGACATATGGTTACAATATGGAATAAATGTATGTATTATTTGAGACAAGAGCAGATTACTGTACTTCTTAAAATCTCCCTTTACTTACCATAGAAATGGTGATTGAAAAGATAAACAGATGAATGACAATTCTAATGACACCTAATTCAGCTAAAATCTCAAGAGGATTGCTTTAATCTTAAAAACGTTTAAGATTTAAGTATATAAACTCACTGACTCGGTAATACTGGGTAATACTATGTTCCAGGCACTGCTACTTGTCTACAGTGTAATTGTCCAAATGTAAACTACTTCAAGTTTAAATGAGATGCTACAGGAACTAATGAATGTGGGGTTAGGGGTTAAAAGTGCAGCCAGATATGCCTTTTCTGCTTTAGATGCCTGATGGGCGTCACTTCTGGCTACTAAGAGCCATTTGAATGACAGCTTCTCATCTTTTGAAAAGATGACAGAGCTTTCCAAATTACCTGAGCACCCACTAGGAAAGAGGAAGACCAACCCTGTGCGCTCCCTATGGCCCTTTCTGGGGCACAGGCCTTTTTGGACTATCCAGACAACATACCTTCCCATAGTTCCTTCTAATCAGTCCTACTCAAGCACTTGGATATGTCTCAGAGTATAGGTTCCATCTACTCCAGACTGACTCTAACTGTAAGTAAACGCAGAAAAATTTTCTTTACAACAGATCTAGCTGTGTGTACTTTATGGGAATGAAAAAATTAGGAAAATGAACATCTGTAGCATCAGCATAACTCTGAAGGCTGCACAGTTATTGTTGGCTGGGTAGCAGCCTTGTTGGTGGTAACTATGGGTTTTAGGCTAAAGCTGGTAATGGACAAGGCTCCAGAGTAGCAGAGGCAGCTGCCAATTTCACATCAGAGTATTCAAAGCAATAACAGAATTTCAGAATACTACAAGTTAGAAAGGACTTTAAAGACCATCTAATCTGGTTCAGCTGCTTACTGAACAGATGTTCAAAGTTGGAGTAAGTTAGTAACAGACCTATAATTAGAACACAGGTATCCTGACTCTCAATCCAGTGTTTTGTTTTTAAAGATAGATTGATTGATTGATTGATTTTTAGAGAGAGGAACGGATGGGAGAGAAACATCAACGTGTGGTTGTCTCTTGCATGTCCCCAACTAGGGACCTGGCCTGCAACCCAGACATGTGCCCTGAATGGGAATTGAACTAGCTACCCTTTGGTTTGAAGGTTGGCACTCAGTCCACTGAGCCACACCAGCCAGGACTCAGTTTAGTGTTTTATCTATTACAACACAAAGATAATGATTTTAAAGTTTATGGGTGAAGGATGCATAGTAAATTTTAGTCCTTTAATTAACTAAGTTCATTATTTACTTTTCCCTCCTTGGTTTCATAAAAAGCACTAACAATAAAATAAAGGCTATCTGTTTTAACTTAGCTAGTCCACTGAATCTATATTCTAAGAGTTAATTATGACATGTAAATTTTATCCCAATAAATGTTATTAAAAATGTATCATCATACCCCTGACAGTTATTATACTATAATATATTCAACTGGCTAACTCTGAAAATGGGCATTCATTTTTGTTTCTTAACTTACACTAAAATATCTATTGTATACTAAATGATAAGAAAATACACTTAAGTCCATGAAACTGCATTTTTTCCAAGCAAATTTATAAATATACTGGTGACTAGAAAAAATTAATGCAATTTCTAGTTCCCCCCAAAATATAGTTATAATCAAGATATAACTGACCAAGAGAATTTACTCAATTTATCATAACATTGCTTTTCACGGAAACTCTCCAAATTTAAAGTAAAATCTCAGTTTTACAGAATACTTTAAAAATCCAGCCTCTTACACTGTTAATGATAGATCAAGTCAATGAGTAATTAGCTTAATCACCATTCTCTCATTCTTGTGAAATGCCACAGCTTTGAATAAACATTTTTACCACAATCTAGTAAGTTAAATTACAATCTAATTTTAACTGTTCATATAGTGGTAAATATAATCTCTACTTATTTTCAGATATGTGTTATTAAAAAAAGCATTTATTCTATTCTAATACAAGACAATTTTAGTTAATCATCCTAAGTGAAGAAAATAACTGCCAATAACCATTTACCTTGTCCTAAGAGCAAGCCAAGCAGCTTCTATGTCTGCATAGAGGTTCTTCTCCGTTGGTTTCCCAGAACTTGCGCCATATCCAGAATAATCGTATGAGAATATATTACAGTTAATCCTTGATCCTAGTCCTATGTAAAAGCTGCTCATCTGACCAAGATCAACAGCATTTCCATGTGAGAAGAGTAATGTGTATTTGGCATTGGGTGAGCAACGTACAAACATGCAGGCAATTCTGTTGCCTTTACTGGTTCTAGTCATGAAACACTCAATAGCATCTTTTTCTCTGGAAGAGTACTGCCAGTCAGCTCGTTCTGATAGGTGTAAAGTCCAGCGGCTTCCACTTTCATCACACATTAGCGTGTAAGTTGGATCAGGTGGCAAAAATGCTAATTTTGAAGCAATTTTCCCTGGACAAGGTGGACAGCAGAAGAGGCAACACAGCTCACTAAATGAAAGATTATTCATCTTCTGAAAAAGAAAAGGAAATAGCAAATGTTTTAATCACTGAATGTGGATTCTGCATTCTCACACAACAGGAGGTTAAATGAAGACATCAGCTACTATTGTTTTGAGTATCTTCAACCAAAACACACTTTGGGGATTTCTGTAGAAATACTGTAAATCCTGGGATGAAGCAAATATTGCTAATCAGGAGAGAGACTCAAATACTATATATTTCAAAGAGTAGTGATTATATCTTAAAATATTTACCCAAAATATGAAAAATAACACAAGAGTAGTGGTAATGTTTGTTATTTCTCTACAAATAACACAGGAGGTATGAAATAGTATAGTTCACAACTTCTGTGAAACTCAGTGAAACTGCTCAGAATCTCATGGAAAAGCTAGGAATTTAACATGCTAACAGTAAATATATAATAGTACTTATGAAGCACTTACTATTTGTCAGGAATGTGCTAAGTGTTTGTTATACATATTTATAAGTTTAACCCTCAAAACAATCCTGTGTGTCGGTCCCTCACAGGTAAGGCAGTGGTGGAATCAGGACTTGTCACCCAGCTCAGTCACTGTCCCATATCACTGAGCTACATTATCAAGGGCTCAGAACACTATTTATACCAGAACTTTATCATTTTAACCATTGTGCCAGATGCCCAAATAACCTGTAAGAATAAAAGGTAGAATCTGGTAAAGGTAAAATTGCCCCAATTGTTAGATGAGAAGGAACATAAAGGTTTGTAGACAGAGGTGGGTGGAATCCCAACTGGACTGCTTACTAGTTGTGTGTCCTTGGGCAAATTATTTATCTTCTGACTCTCACTGCCATCATAAGTGAGGCCAACACCCACAGTGAACAGAGTGAAGAACAAGTATGATGATACAGTTTAGGCATATAACAGAGAAGTTGGCTCACTTAGGAATGGTCCATTTCCTGCTATGTCTTTCTCATTAATATTTAAAAAATATCCACCTCCTATTAAGTCAGGAACAAAAATAAATACTTGTTTGCCCTACCAGAATTTCCTTCTATCTTATCCATTCTCAAATCCCTATCTTCTTTAAGCAGTAATAGACCTTTGCTTAGTTCAAGGAAAAAGAAGCATTCAAAACAAGTATCTTCCAGAGGCTTGGTTAGCACCTAATTCACCAAAAAATATCTAAATACAGCGATATGAAAAATGTACAGAAGTATACAAAAAATGAGAAGAAACCACCTCAGGACTGACTAAAAGGGTGAAAATATTTAGAGGGAAAAGAATTCCCTCTTCAGTGAGTACTGAAGCAAAAATCCTGTCTGTACTGCTCAATACAAATTTATTTATTCCCCACTCTGAACTAATTAGGTAGAAAGAAGCAGAAACAGTACAGATAGAAACAATGGTTGGAGTGACATTAAAGGCTTTAAAAGATAAGTAAGGGAAGGGCAGGAAAGTATCTCTTGGATACTGGGAAGCAATTTTACTTACTATTTTACCTTTATTCCTTTTTAGCCTTCAGAGCAAATAAAGCCTGAATATGAAGCTAATGTCTTAGTCTGACTGCAACAAGAGCCAGAACAAAAATGACAACTAGTGCTAAACTCCCTGCAGTGTTGTTATGCTGAAGAGGATTCCGAGGGCATGCCCAGGGCTTGTCAGGCAAAGAGGAAAATAAGTCTAGGAGATTCTATGAGATATATGAGCTATGACAAGTTAATATATTTTTTGTAAGCTAGCAATGGATCCAAACAAAAAAAGGGAAAAGAACATCCCTAATAATCCAAAATCAAAACTCCGGACAATAACAACATGAAGAGGATTAGAAGAAAGGGTAAAGAGAGAAGAAAAACATGAATATAAATATGACTCAGATATAACCACCAGAAAAATAGTTTGTAGGACACACCTTAAGTATAATTATTCATTACAGGTATCTAGCTTTGAATATTTATCAGCATGTTAAATTTAAGAGGAAACAGAAGCATAAAGAAATAAGAAAAAATAAAATAAGGGGTAGAGGGCAACAACAGAGAACAAAAAGAACAGAAAAATGTAACAGACCCAAAAGCTTATTATTAGAAAAAGCTTCCACTACCACTACCGACACCTAGCATTCACCAAGTACTTACTGTCAGGCATTATTTTAGACAGTGTTCATATATTAACTCATTTAATCCTTTCAACAACCCCCTGACGTAAGGACTATCATCTGAGGAAATAGGAGCAGAGTAATTATGTAACCTGCCAAAACTGACACAGTGGTAAGTTTTGAAACTGTTAAGTTGTACAATGAAGGAAGCCTGAACCCATATTCACAGTTTTGTGGAAAGAGTACTCAGACAAGGCTGATCAAGAGAAAGCAAAAGACAAAATACTAAATGAAAAAGACAGACCTACAGAAAGTTAAAAAGCGACAATGAATTAAATAACTTTGATGAAATGCATGAACTTCAAGTAATAAAAAAAATTAAATGGAAAAAAAAGGACAAAGAATCTGAATGGACATTTCTCCAAAGACATAAAAATGTCCAATAAGAACACGAAAAAATGCTCAGCATGATTAGTCATCAGGAAAATGCAAATCAAAACCACAATGATACCAGTTCTTACCTACTAGCATGGTATAATCAAAAAGATCTTATCAAGCAAGCATTGATGAGGATCTGGGGAAACGGGAACCTTCATACACTGTTGGTGGGAAGTAAAATGGGGCAACTAATTTGAATAACAGTTTGGTAGTTCCTTGAAACTGAACCCAGAGTTGGTGGGTTGGTTGCCATTTAATTCCTCTGGTCAGGGCACATGCCTGGGTTGATAATATTTCTCTCCAAAAATATATTTTTTAACTCCTGTCCCCACCAAATTGTGCATTTTAAGGAAGTAGATTGTACAGCATGTGAATTATATCTTAATAAAACTGTTAAGGGGGGGAAAAAGGTTTTTGGTAAGCTAAGGTAACTTTACAAAGAAAGAGCAACCATATCCGTTTATTTGTTGGGTTTCAGGTATTAAAACAGACTACACAAGGACGAAGCAAAGACAGACAGACAGGTGCTGGAAAGAAACAAATAGACCTAGTAACAGAAGACAGAACTTATAAAACAGACCTACCCATAAATGAGAATCTTCTGTTGGGGTGTCCAACCTTTTGGCGCCTCTGGGCCACACTGGAAGAAGATTTGTGTTGGGTGATATTCATAGCCATCCTATGCCTTATGAAGCCTGTGGGGCTGCAGGTTGGACACCCCGAATGATTTCTCCAAGCAGTAGGGAAAAATGGATCCTTGAAAAGATGGTTCTGGGAATATTTACCTAATAGGCAAAAGTAGTTGGATCCCTACCTCTTAGTATGTAGAACATAAAGATCATAACTCACACAGGGATTATAGAACTAAAAGGCAAAACTAATATAACTTTTAAAAATCCACAAAAGATAAAACAGTGATAGATTTAGCTTCATTTAAATAAAGGATTTCTATGCAGTAAAAAAATGCTTAGTCTGACTACAACAAGAGGCAGAACAAAAATGACCACTAGTGCTAAACTCCCTGCAGTGTTATGCTGAAAAGGATTCTGAGGGCATGCCCAGGGCTTGTCAGAGGGTTAATATTAAAATATGAGGAACTTCTGCAAAAAACAAGAAAAAAAACCCAGGTTAACTCAAGAGAGCAGATGGGCAAAATATATGAATGGGTGATTTACAGAGAGATAAACAAGTATAACAAGAAAGGTCATTCTCACCAACTGTCAAAGAAATGTAAGAAATATCACTTCAACACTACAAAAAATGACAATTAGAAAACTGAGTAACATCAAGTGCTGTTGAGAATGGAGGGGTGGGGAGAGTGGGGAGAGGAATCTTTGTGAACTGCTTAAGCCATTTTATTTACCTACGACCCCAAATCCCATTCAAAGAAATAATTGCACAGACACCTAGGTAATGTGCACAAGGCTGCTCACTGCAGCGTTACTAGTCTCAAGTGTAAAAGCAATATAGATTCCATCACTGGGGAAATGAATGTAAATGTGTTGGATGCTGATAATGGGACATTATGCAGAGTCAGAAGTAGTATTTTGATGGCTAGAACTCAAAAATATAGTTCTAGGTGAAAAAAGGAATAAACAGATCTATGCCACTATTAATGTAAATTAAAAACATAAAAATGTTGTATATTTGCAAGGACATGCATATCTGAATGGACATTTATAGAAGGGAAAAAATAAGTATCAAGTACAACAAGGATAGGGTCCGTGTTCATTGATGATGACAACAATGTGCCACAAACTAGACTAGAAGTCCCAGGGGGCAAAGTCATATCTGCTTGCTTATTGCTGGTCCCCCAGGGTACCTGACACACAGTAGGGTTTCTAATTTTTTTGGATGAGTTAATAAATTCATAAGATTAACTCAACTCTCTGCATCTAAGAAGCCCCCACAAAAGAAAAAGGTTTACCAAATCACATGTTAACAAATAAAGCAAATATGTTTTATGAAGGTTATTTAAGTTTCTTATAGGGGCATAAAATAGAAGCAGTCAAGTAAAAACCTATAAACCTAAGTTTGGGGGGTGGGCGTACATGGGAAAAATAATTGCTAGGTTCTAAAATCATGCAGTGTGTTATGAAGCTCAGAGCAGTCTTTCAGGGAGAAGGAAATCTTGCCTCTCTCAATATCATTCACAAATGGAAGGTCAACTCAATGTTAAACAGATGGCCCATTGTGAAAATTACGGTTTTCCTTTTGGCAGAGGACTCAGTTACTTACTTCACTTATAACAAGAGGAACTTCCTAAAACTGTATAAAATAATTTAAGAACCTGCTTCTGGTAACTTTTCCTGCTCAATGACAAAGGGAAAAGGATGAACATCTGAGTTCTTTCTCAGCAAAACAGGAAGAGTAGTGTTAAAAAAAAAAAAGTCCCTAAATAGAATGACCTACTATATCTCCTTCCTCTCTTCTGACAGAAAAATTACTGAAATGACTCCTGTCAATTTCTGATGCAATAACACTTTACTGGGTGAAAACTC